CCCCGGGGTGGGAGACATATTGTTTATTCTGTAAAAATCCTTACAAAACTGACAGGATGACTGAACTGAGTGAGTGAATAAGCTGGTCCAGATTTTTGCAGTGATGACATCACCAACCACGCCAGGATATTTACATACCTATGCAAATGCACAATATTGCTTGAGGTGGGTTTAGGCTGGGAAAATCAGATACAATAAAATCCTGAACCCGACATCTCATTACCATTTGTTGGCCATGCGTCTCTCGTCCCGTCGAAAAAAAGTCGTGTCAATCGAGTTGATTTTGGCAATAATAATATTGCTGCGGTGCGGTGCAAGCATGTTGCACACATTTTGCCTTCAGATCGTGCCCTAAAAGGAAATGTATCTGTGGGTAAATTGTGAGTTGCACATTTTCCACTTTACTGCACTGTTTTTGACAGAATACTAAAGTACAGAACACTCGAGAGACATTTTTATTGCGGTTTTTAGTGATGTTGTTCGCCATCATGAATTTTTGTCCCTGGCCCGTCTGAAGATTTCAAGATTTGATACAATATTGGAAATGCATGATATGTATGTACGAGACCAGTGGCCGCGGAAGCTGTGGGGACATTAACATTGTTGGATAGGGGAGGGAGGGGTTTATATAACATGGGAAGACGATGCAGACATCGAATAACCGTGGGGACATTGTCCCTCTGTCCCCTCGCCCTTCCGCGGCCACTGTACGAGACTTGAGAAAAGTTGTTATGTTGTATGTGGCATAATTTATGATGATGATAAGAATAAGATGAACGATTCGACTCGGGTCAACGTCAAGTATGGGCATTGACATTTTAGATTGGAAAAACGTGATTCGATTAATTTTCGATTTCTTTTTCTTCATCTTTTTTTCAGCCGAAAATATTTTTCCACTTATTAACAAAAAAAGTGATGAAATTGAGACGGATCCAAGAAAGTTTTGCGTTTGATTCGTTTGTAGAAAAAAATTTGCTTAATGAGGAGCACAAAAATTCGAGAGGTTTGACCGCAACGCAACTTAAATTATTTAACGAGGGCGAAAAAAAGTCAAAAAGTCAAGTCAACCAAACTAAACCGCAAAGACAAAAAACTTTTATCCGAGAGATCCGATCCGAAAAGTTTTTAAAAAACGTGAACTTTTTCTTTTTCTTTCAGATTTTCGAAACGAAACGAGATGAGGAAAAGAAGAAATGTTGATTTCTTTTGTCATGAATGTTATTCATGGAAAAATGTAGCGCGTGGTTTTTTGACCTGTCTCGTTCCTCGTGTGACACGACTCGCACAGGACAGTTTGGTTTTGATCTCGAATTCTGATTGCGGTCGGATTTCGTCCGTTTTTAGACAAAATTTTGGTTTGACTTTTGTTATTACAGGAAAACTCGGTGAGAAGATGGGGACGATATGAGTCCAGAGTTTAACCTTTACGTAGGACTTTGTGAGTTGAGAATGTACTTTTAGTTTATTTTTAAGGACCACAAAACTAAACTATGTGACAGAAAATTTGTCATGTTTTTTTTCTCCAAAATACCAGAACTTGGCGTGTACAGTATTTAAAATTCTGCCCCTCACTAGTCGTTTACATACAAATACTAGGCTGCACTTTCTCCTAAAAACGCCTCCCCAGTTTCTCCCTTGAATACAAATTGAATCCGAAAATAGAAAGTAAAAACCATTAAAAGAGAAAGTCTCCTAATAACATACAACCCGAAAAGTGAAACAAGGACCAATAAATACGCACAAAATTAAGTGTAAACATGTTTACGCGATACCCTCGATCGTGTCAGTGTCAACTATTTAATAGCGAACGTAATAATTTCTGAAGGCACAATTTCCTGTTGCGTAGCCTTCATCATCAAGTTGATGGCAGACCAGCCGAGAGGGAAGGAAACACTGGAGAGAAGTGACACTTCATTAGAAAACAGGTGTGGTTGGTCGGCGACGTTTTATTTCTGACGGTAAGTAAAAGCATGGGAATATTCCAGGAATACGTTTTTTTTCTGAGACTACGGAATGATCAAATTGAGGACAAAAAGACAAGACAGGCTGCAAAAATGATTGAGTGGTTTGGATTTTTGGTTGAAAATTCTATGTGTCAAAAAAGTTGTATATATTTTTCAAGCACAATTTTTTCTTTGTGAAGATGATGTCCTTTTACAAATACGACAAGAATGAAAAATATTTAATGCCACAATTCAAACTTGCAGCAGCAGATGCAAGCAGAAATACTTATAAAAAAATCCCCAACAAGAAAAGACCTCTTGAATTACACATTTTATTTTGTGCGTGAATTGATAAGAAGATTGATTGGGTGGGATGGGACGAAGGTGCGATTTTGGGTACGACAGATCACGCATCATGTATATTACATCATCCTCGTGCAGTACGGCTCCTGTTACATAATAGCACACGACACTCTCACTTTTACCAAACTGCACAGTTGTTTGTCATCATTTCACATCATTTTTTGTATTGATGACACCTAACACGACTCAGCCAGCGTGCCCAATTGCACCTTGTGTGCAAGGGATATTTATTCTGGTGAATTTTAAATGAGACAAATATGGATGGAGGAAACGAGCCTGAATTAATCAAGGATGACAATTGGAGACAATTCACCACATGTGCGAACAACTTGGACAAATGACACAGTGAATTTTTCCTGTTACACGGCAAATGCAGTTTGACTGTCATGTCACATTAAATATTTAAGAAAGGCAGGGGTCTCTTGTTGGTGAGAAATTGACATCCCGTCCGTTCCATAAAGTGCCTGTGTCGATGTCCAGACTGGACTGCACCTCGTATTGTGCACATTTTTCAACCGTCACCTTTTTACAGAGAGGACGAAAAGAATGAGGATATTTGGACTGGAATTGAATTGAATCTGTCAACGAAAAAGGGATGGATGCCATAGCCTCGACGTGTCCGAATGACCAGGCTGGAATTCTCAGTGTCCGTCCGTCCGGTCAGATTGGAACTGGACACGGAATTTTGTGTCAATATAATAAATGCAAAGTCTATTCGTTTTATGGTCACCTTTTTTTTCTTGGTTACATAGCTTAGCTCGGTGAATTGAGTTTCATTTGTATACACGGTTTACAACTTTGTTTGGGATACGATTTATGAAATAAGGAAGTAAATATGTGTATGTATGTAGGACCATTTGGAGTAGAATGAAATTTATTCAATTTTGATTTTTTTTAATTTATTAAAATTATGATCGCGATATATTAACAAATGATTTTTTTAAATATTGCATTTGTCGAAATTTCGATTTAACTTACCTTTTAACAATTAAATTGAATTAATTGAATTCCTCAAAATGCCTAAAGTATCTAAAGTTTTTATTACTTTTCAAAATTAAATAATTTCTTCTAATCGACCTCTTACTTTTACATTTTACAAAATGTAAACCTTCCCAAAGCGAAAAATGTTATCCTGTCATCTTATGCAACACTCAATTTGAACTTAATCAACCTCTCTGAAATATCACGACCGACTGACTGCTCAATTTCTTTCCGATGCATGCTTACTTATTTCTCGTCGACTTGGTTAAATAGGCAAAGAAGAAAGTTTTTTTTACTTGGCAGGGTTAGAATTTCATTCAATTCCTGGCACAATTTACCCACCAGCCAAGCCCAGTAGCCGTCGACGTCTTGACTGACACCCCGCCTCGTCACTCACATATCTGCATTGTGCCGATAACATATTTAGTAAAGAACGAAAATGATACCACAAAATAAACGTGTGCCGTGAAAGATATGATACATAAACGAAAATATTTGGAGGACGACAAAAAAACCCCTAATTTTTATAATGGCTCAATCAAAGTGGTTTATTATGTGTGTCGGGTCCATAATCCGTATGCATAAAATGTGGCTGGTTTACATAGCTTCAAACCTCTCATTCTCAGACAGGAGCAGCTTTCACATGTTTACTTTAAACTTATACTTTACCCACGCGATGAATGGATTTTCCTTATTGGTTTTTCATTCACTTTTCACAAAGAAAAAATGAATTATGAATGAATAAATGAATATTTGGTTAAATAATAAAAAATGGATGAGCAAGAGATTTCCTTACATACGTTAAGTACACACACCGGTATCGCACCTCTTCAGCCAGCATGATGATCATCATCACAATTCATGAAAGTTGCTTCTCCTCAAACTAACCTCAAACTCTAATCATCCACTTGAAGCAAGGTTTTAAAAACAGCTTATGCAGTTTTAGCCCGTCTTTTACTTTGTCGAGCGAGGTGTTGACAAGAAACCGTTACGCAATTTGTGTGCAGGCAGGTTGCGCCGTAATAGCGCAGGAATGAATAATTTTAAAGCTTTGTTTGGGTGGTATGGTAAAATGCCGGTCTGGTTTGGCCAGTCTGGGTCAACCATCTCATCTCATCTCCACTTTCTTAATTCAATGTAAAAAAATAACCGGTGATAGTTTTTTAGTACATGATTTGGCTCGACTTTTTCTTATTAAACGATACCAGTTACACATAAATTAGCCATTTCATTCGTTCGTTCTCTGTGTAAGTGAAATGCTAATTTGCTACAAATTGATGTAAATTGTGGAAGAAATTTAGCATATGGTAATAATTCAATTAAAAGTTGAAAGTAAACCCACGCATTGGGAAGGTTTGGGTGTGGATTTGCGAGTTCAAGTGCCATTATTTTAGGTACGTATGCACGCATATATTTTTAAGGTGAAGGCAGCATATTTATGGATTGGATTGTTAATCTCAAGTACTGGATGAGTAGGTGGTGAAAAATGGGGAAAATTGTTAAAAATATGTAATTATCTTAAACTTGACGCCGTTTAAGTTCTTGTCAAGATTTATAATTTGCAAATCATTAATTAAGATAAAAAATAGCAAAAATGTGTGTGTATGTAAATTATTTGCAAATATTTGCATACACACATTTTAAAGATCCTACTCTATGCCTATTTTTTCTACAAAAATGTGCGTAAATTTGTATATATATAGTCTACATTACCTTATTTCTTCATGTCAAAGTTTATCCGACTGTGTCTGCCGTCGTAAAATGACTTCCTTATAGCTTTACGTAACTTTTTCTCGTCTGGTTCAAATTGTCGTCGTCCTCGTCGTTGTGAAACTGCAACGTGGAAGCATTTTCAGTACGCGAATTTTTCAAGCAGTCAGCAACATGGGGAGGAGAAGGGATGAGATAATCATTTCCTAGGGCAGATGAAGATTATAGTCTAGTCTGGGTTTGGTTGCTTTGTGGCTCTGTTCCTTCCGCCGATTCGGAATCCTGTTCTCTTATTTTACAGGATCACAGGAGGCCAGCAGCACGAGTAAAATTTTAACAAACATTAACACACTTATTTGCTCACGGCTTACTCACTTGGAGTCGTTCATTTCACATGCTTACGCACGAAAACGATGTAAAATGAGTAGAAATGACACACCCATGCATGCGGAATGACGAGCTTTGCACTCGTGGTGAGTCAAATGTTTTAGTTAAATTTTGTAGAAAAATTGAAATGCTGGTGGTGGTGCTGGTGAGTAAGTAAATATTTCTCTGTGTCAGCCAGCCTCTAGATTTTTAGGCTTAGCATTGACTTTGACGGCTTGATGGCAACATATTTTCGTGACGGTGGAAATAAAATCTTGGAATGACTGACTTTTATGGAACAAAACTATGTAGTAAATGAAGTGGGAACAAATTTCCGATCAAGATCCGATACGGAAAATATTGTCGAGTTTTTTTTGTAAAAAAAATGTTTAAAAAGTAACAGCTTGTGAAGCACGATGTAGTTTGAGTAGAACTTTAGGGAATATTTCGTCACTATTTGTTAACACTTGTGACAAAAATTGCAAAATTCACTGCGTGACTAAATCAAATAATTCTTGTACAATTTACTTAATAAATTGTTAATTAGAGTGGAATATTTGAGACGCTTTTATAGCGGAGGCAAATTGAGACTGCTCTCTTTCTCTGGTGCATGAATACACTGTAAAATGGCTTTACTGTTGGCTCTAGTGAGTGAGTCGTCTTCTTTTATTGTGTCGTTTGGCTTGGTTAACATAACACGGAGACTATGGTACGTACAGCAAATGTGTATAAAACGGTGAATGAGACTCGAGCGTACACACCGAAGTCTTCTAGTCCGAGTCCTGATCTCAACTAAACTTCATCTCTTCAAAACACGGCACACGTAACTTTAGCCTCGTCCTCATCACATGCACCAACTCGACAAAACCAAACTTACTCTTCTCTTCTATACCCAACGCAACCTTTCTTCTCCACGTTTCGTTGTTGATGGGACGAGATGAGAATTGGATGCACCAAGTGCTGAATAAAAGGAATGAAAATAGAGCGACGATATCTCTAAATGGGGAGAGAAAGAAAGAAAGTATGTACAGGTGGATCTCATATTTTTAGCTACAATAATTTTCCAAAATGTGATGGTCCAGAGATTTGGTTGGAGAGTATATTTTATTTATTTAACAGAATTTTAGTCCCCGAGTGGACAGTGGGGAATTTGCATGCATAAATAATCCTGATTTTTCATGAGATTCATTCACACCCTTCCGTGTACAGGAAGAGATTTGTCTCTCGGAAGAACAAATCTTTTATCTTTTTCGAAATGCTCATGAAGATAAGTGGGGACAGGAGGAGTATCAGTCCGTCGTGGTTTTAGTGGTGGTGGGGTGGTGAAAGTTAAGCCGGATAAGAGGAGGATGGATGGCTCCTCGGAAAAGTAAGTGATGACCACACCAGTTTACGTAGAGTTTTTTTTCTGTGAACAAAGAAGTAGTCTTATCAAGAGGTGGGGTGGGGTTGATTTTCATGGATCTCGACTCGAGGTAATGGTGACGATAATATTAAGCGATGTCCCTTGTTTATCAGAATATTGCCATGATAAGGAATAAAAACATGGCAAAAATTAGGAGAAATCTTATTTTTTGCCATTTTTATCTCCTCATTTATTTGATGGACAAGACAAACTGAGATATTTAGCAGATGGTGTTGCTTTATCCGGGCATGTCATTCATGTTCTAGATTGAGTAATCAGAGGACAACAAAGAATTTGAGAGGATACAATTGTTGCTGTTGACTGAACCAGCATCTTCATTTTCTTTCGAGCCAGGCTTTTGTCCTTTATATTCGCACTTCTTCTCCTGACGAAGAATGAAATGCTACAATAATTAGAATGCGCTCTCTGCTTAGTTTTGTTTTGAATTCTACATTCCCAGTCCCAACAGCGTCAGGGATGAACTCGCTATTTTATTTTATTTGGGAAAGTTTAACTTTATGACTTTTACTTTTTGTCTGCCAAAACCCAAGCCACGTGTCTTTCTGCTCGTCCTGCTGCTGCTGTTATGTTGTTGGACATAAGTTTTGTCTCCTGGTGTCATTGTGTTGCGCATTGTTGTGCTACGCGTTTGGCTTGGTGGCAGAAAGAGAGGAGGATGATGACGATCTTTTGATTGTGGAATGAGACTCTAACTTTGACTTTGTTCACGTTTTGGTCTCTTCTGCAGAGGGAGATGGAATAGTAGATGCGAGGATAATAAGGTGTGGTGGTCGTGGGGGCAACTTTTGTTTATCTCACTTTTGCAAAAAGTTGTGGAAATGTTTCTATTTCTTGGAGTCGTAGAATTTGGATTTGGATTTGGATTTGTCCAAGTTTTAGTGACAATTCGAACCAAAAATAAATATTTCGTTGCATTTATAGCTGGGGCACCGGAGGGGGGTTGACGCATTCCTGGTAACACACTTACTTATGTATGGAACTTGTTTCGCTTTTAAAACTCATCTCATTATTACAACCTCCACCCAAATATTCGTCCTCCTCTCCTCCTGTTTCGGCTAATTTGATAATGAGCACGGCTCAAAAGTAGAATGCAAATGAAATTAATTTTAGAAATTGCTCCTCCTGCAAAACTTGTATCATCGTGGAAAAGCAGAGAATGAATGGAAACCGAACTGGTGCCAAGTATGGAGAGAAGAAGAGAAGGATGAAATTTTAGCTGGCTGGAGTTTGTCCTAGATAAATGGAGGATACTTGGCATTCGTGATCAAATCCGCAGTCCAGTCCACACCAGAGGAAGAGATGAAAGATGAAAATGATGCAAGTTCACCTAAAGTAGAATCAACCACCCGGTGAGTTCTTCCTCCACGTTTTGTGTGCTTGGCTCGTCTTGGATCATCTGAAGAAGAACAAGTTGCGAGATATTCTCAATATGTATAGTAAATTTTATCCATTTTGTGGTCTGGTCTGGGGTCTTCTTGGCATACTTCTTGTACTGCTACAACTTGATTTCTAAACTGAACATGATTGAGAACTTGGGATGGTTGGGTGAGATGAGATGAAATGAAATGAAGACGTCTCAATTTTTGGTTGCGTCTCAATCCTCGTTCTTGTCTTTTAAAGGAATTGCTTGGCTTCCTTTTTGGGGCAGAGTAAAGTAGTATTTGGCTCCGTAATGGGGAAGGAGTGCTGAAAAATACTTGTGCATATGCCTATTTATGAAGTCCATATTTCGAAAACAGTGGTCGTGGTGCATCAAGAAAATGAAGTTGCATATGAGGAAATCTTTAAAATGACTGACTTTACGAAAATGGATGTAAAATACAAACGTAATTATCTCAAGTACTCAACTCTGCTTTCTCCTTTAGCTGCAATTTGTATTTTATTTTATTTATTTATGAGACCTTAAGTTGGTCCGAGTGGGTTATAGCGTAAAGTTACACATTTATCGTAATACTAATATTTACTCGTCTTTTGCTTGTATTTATACTTAAATTTGAGACTGCGTGAGGAGAGTAGTGACTTTTTGGTCAATATTTGACTGTGTACGGTCGGATTTGGATGGACTTTCGAATATTATTAACTCCCACGTTTTCCAGCCACTTTCTGCAAAAAAAAATCTGAACTGTGAAGTGAACTCTTTTCTTCCTTCTATCCACATCCTCTCCTCCTCCACTTCCGGCCCTTTCTGATGTATTATGCATCACAGGGAATTGCAAATGGAAAGATAAATGTGTCCGATGTTGGGTAGCTGGTTGTAGCGTATGTAGGCGGAAAACCCGTCAGAGTGGATTTCTGAATTGGATGGATTTCGATTTCTTGACTTTTGTCGTGCAAAAGACTTATTTTCAGACGGAGAAATATGTATCATGATATTTTGATAAGCTGTGGTCAAGTCATTTCTTTATCAGCGAGACAATTGAGGTTACCCACATCCACAAAAAATGTGATCTCTTCCTTGATTATGTCGTCACTTTTATCTCAAAATGTAGCCCAAATTTTAGCTTGGACACGAGACATCGGATCGAATCCACACGAGCAACAAATTGATCTTGATCCCTTTTTCTCTGCCGAATTCTACACCACGCCATCATCATTTCATTGTAGGGAAGAGAAAATACAGAAAACGGAAATTGTGGAGTCAACTGTTGAGTTGAATATCGTCACCCTTCTCTCCTCGTCACTATTGGACGAGAGTCGTCGAGTCAAGTTGAGACACTTGAGTGAAAGTAAACTCTTTCTCTCCAACTTTCTCTCTCGATACAAAGTGAAGTAAAGTAAGCAAATATGTTGCCTATTGGAGAGAAGACGGGGAGGAAACCAGGTCGGAATTTTGGAATAGATCTGTTCACTTTCCCTCGCTGACTGCTCCTTTCTCCTCATCCGCTCTTCTTCATAGATAAAAGTGAATTGAATAGTGGTCCCCGTTAGTCGTGGCGTGGTGGTCTCGTGGTGGTGGCAAATAGTGGATCGAGCAGACTTACTGCACTGCATCCATACGGTGATGAAAGTTGGTAGAAAATTTAAATTGCTAAGTCAATAAAGTGTGAGTACATATATGCATCTCCTCTCACGGGATGGGATCGTGTCCTTTCTTTGTACGTCCTTCTGTCTGTGGCTATGCTTTCTCCAGATGGAATGCATGCATGGCGGAAAGTGGAAGATCATGCATGTATGGGTTGGTTACTACTGGCAGATATTTTCGTGACACCCTCATCTCATCCACACCAAGTGTGAAATACATGGAGATAGGTACGTATGTACGTATTCAGGAGGATATGTACATGCTACCCGTACATACATAAGTATTTAGGGAAAAGGAGAATAAGATTCCTGGGGAATTTTGAGGGGCACATATTGTCCATAAAATAAAATAAAATGGACCCGAGTGAATCACTTCACTATTTCGTTTTCCTAGATCGAGACAATGTTTAGTTTTATTCTAAACGTGGAGAAGAGAGAGAACCCCTTCCAGGCATGGGAAAGGAGAAGATGTTGAAATGCTACTTATTTTTTGGAACAATATTATACCAAGAAAGAAGGGAATGAATTGGACGAGATAGCGAGAAATTATGCTTCATACGTGGTGTGACGTAATGTCGGTGGTGGGTGCGTTTCAGTTACAAATTGAGAGATGAGATAAATAGAAAAAGAAATGAAATGTGGAACATAATCTTGTTTGCTGCATTGTCCTCGTCGTGAAATGTATACAGTATTTTTCTCATATATGTAATAGAGAGCCCATGGGAAATAGTGGTGATGGGGCATTGTTGCTTACAATTGGTCAAGAAATGGTTCTAAAAGTTTCAAATTCTGGTATAATATGCTAAATATATCTGACGTCGAACCCTGAAGATTTCATGGTTCTTGAATGGAAGGTAAATTTCCTACGCAAATTCAAAGGGGGGAAAATGGGAAACGAGTTTTCCAGAAGTACTAAAATTTGTTCGAAAAAGCCTTGAAGCAGGCTTGACTAAATTTCAACAGAGAAGGGTCTGGCAGCACAAAAATTCAGACATACATAAAAAAGTACGGAGAATCCGAAAATGTCAACCTTAAATACACATCATAAGAAAAAACGATCATACCGACCCCTTGAAAATGAATAACGATTTAATTTATTTTTGGAAAGTACCGCTCCACGTTCGTGCCGGATGCGGCCATGAAGTCAAAGATTAATCCAAACTAATTGTATCATATTAATGCCCATAAGTTGTGGGTCAAAGCATATTCAAGGAAATCTGCACCAAAACATACGGAAGGCCAAGAGAAAATGGCAAACGCAAGACCTCGCAAGCTGTGCAACAAAATTTCACCAAAAAAGTTGGTCAGTGACGATGAGCCCTACGCCCTTAG